CTTTGCATTCAGAAGGTCCCAGGTTTAGTCCCCGGCATCTCCAGTTAAAAAGGACCAGGCAGTTAGGTGATGGGAAAGACCTCTGCCTGAGACCCTGGAGAGCTGTAAAGAGGGGCTGTGGCTCAGTGGTAGAGCCTCTGCTTTGCATTCAGAAGGTCCCAGGTTCAATCCCCGGCATCTCCAGTTAAAAAGGATCAGGCAGCAGGTGATGGGAAAGACCTCTGCCTGAGACCCTGGAGATCTGTAAAGAGGGGCTGTGGCTCAGTGGTAGAGCCTCTGCTTTGCATTCAGAAGGTCCCAGGTTCAATCCCCGGCATCTCCAGTTAAAAAGGATCAGGCAGCAGGTGATGGGAAAGACCTCTGCCTGAGACCCTGGAGATCTGTAAAGAGGGGCTGTGGCTCAGTGGCAGAGCCTCTGCTTTGCATTCAGAAGGTCCCAGGTTCAGTCCCCAGCATCTCCAGTTAAAAAGGACCAGGCAGTTAGGTGATGTGAAAGACCTCCACCTGAGACCCCGGAGAGCTGTGAAGAGGGGCTGTGGCTGAGTGGAAGAGCCTCTGCTTGGCATGCAAAAGGTCCCAGGTTCAATCCCCGGCTTCTCCGGTTGAAAAGGACCAGGTAGTAGGTCATGGGAAAGACCCTGGAGAGCCACTGCCAATCCGAGTAGACAATACTGACCTTTTGGTGGACCAAGGGTCTGATTCAGTAGAAGTCAGCTTCATGCATGTGCTCTTCAGCTTTGAGAACGGGGTAGATTTATTTATTTATTCACATTTATAGCCCACCCTTCCCAGAAGTAGGCTCAGGACAGGCTCAGTTAAGACTTCACTGCTGGAAAGTGATATGTAACTGATGCGTCAGCAGTGATAACTGTGGGAACGACCCCATTAAAGTTGAGGACACTGAAGTCCCAAGATGGTTGGCCAGTCTACCTACTATCCTACCTGTTCTCCAAAGAGCGCAGTGTTCCATACACGGGTCTCCCTTCCTCCGTTTTATCCCCCACAACAACCCTGTGAGGTAGGATAGATGGAGTAACATTGACTGGCCCAAGGTCACCAACCAACCCGTGGCAGAGCAGGGATTTGAATCCGTCTTCCCGATGCCGGTCTGACCACTAGACAACACTGCTTCTCTGCCACGCATTTCATTTTGCATGCATTACAGGTTCCCCCATTGAAATTGGTAGGAGTGCAGTATGCTTCGCTTGTGCAAGATGTTGCTCTTTTGTTAGTGTTCGAAAAAAACCCTTGCAGATATTCTAATAGGAAGGGAGGTGAATGCAGTTCTGCCAGCTGTTTAAATAGCAGGTTCTGCAGGTGAGAACATACATACATTCTGTAGCATTTCTGCTGTCGTGCAAGATGTTGCTCTTTTGTTAGTGTTCGAAAAAAACCCTTGCAGATATTCTAATAGGAAGGGAGGTGAATGCAGTTCTGCCAGCTGTTTAAATAGCAGGTTCTGCAGGTGAGAACATACATACATTCTGTAGCATTTCTGCTGTACATTCTACCGAAGTCCTGGGCGAGAGGAGGATTCTTAAACAAGGTTGCCTTAGGTCCTGAGGATCGTGCTCTCTTTCTGCTCTTGGGCTGACACTTGGTCCTTGACATGTAAGTTTGGTGTCGTGGTTAAGTGCGCGGACTCTAATTCGGGAGAACCGGGTTTGATTCCCCACTCCTCCGCATGCAGCTGCTGGATGACCTTGGGCAAGCCATAGTTCTGTCAGAGCTGTTCTTGAAAAAAAGAGCAGCTTCTGTCAGAGCACTCTGAGCCCCACCTACCTCACAAGGGTGTCTGTTGTGGGGAGGGGGAGGGGAAGGAGATTGTAAGCCGCTCTGAGACTCCAAGTGAAGGGCGGGGTATAAATCCAACCTCTTCTTCTCTTCTAAGTTGGTATTTACTCTGGAGAAGTTAGTGCGACTTACTGTGTGAGAAACGAGTTGTTTTGTTGATGTACGGGGCACTGCACGTTCCTAAGACTTGACAATCTTTCCCCTCAGAAACGTTTCACGACCCCGAAACGGAAGGCGCCTCCCAGAGCTTTAACCAGCTGTTTTCTCCGCTCCCTGAAATCCCCCAGGATCAAAACGCTGCTGAATCGTGGGAAACTTTGGAAGAGGTACCTCTGCGTCCCTGGCGTCGAGCCATTCTTCTGTTGCTCTTCATCCGATTTTATAAGGAAAAGTGGAATACTTGTTTGAATTTTGTTGCAGGACTTGATCGAACTCGGCAATCTAGTGACTGACTTCTCTCTGCTAGTTCATGTGAGTACAGCAAGAGCCCGTCTCCCAACTTTACTTCTGAGTCGTAAAAGAAGGAAACAAAAGAGTTGAATTCTGTTGAAGCGGTAATACGAGGTCATGTTGTGGCTTTCTCCCAGAAGCCATTTCCTCCGTCTTCTAGCAATTTCTTGTGTGCTGCTGCTCCCTTGCATTGACTTGGGGGGAAATTCCTCTCTCTCATTTTGCGCTTTGAGTAAGTTTATGAGAAGCTAATGAACGAACTGCCCCTAAGGCAGCTGAGAAGAGGAGAGGAGGGGGGGGGGGGGGGGGGGGGGAAGGACGCAAACAATATATAATTAAACCAAATACATGCTGTGCATAACAACATTCAGGAAGCAAAAAGCATAAGCTGTAACATTCATAGAGCCACAAACAATATCCACCAAGGGAAGACCATCTACAATTCACAACTATGTTCAAAACAATATATTATACTCATTGAAATACAAAGAAGGGTTAGTGGTCAAAACCCGATAGAGTATGTAAACATAAATCCAACAGTTTGCTCATAGCAATTAGATATAGTGGTTCCCGGTGCTTGACTACTTATCTCAACAACAATTTATATCTTCTGAATGGACCCAATACCACAAATGGATTTAAAGACTAAATGTTTGTACTACAGTTGTAATGATTTCTTAATAATTAGGAATTCTTTCCCTTTCTGTTCCTTTTTTGCTTTGTTTGTTTGCTTATTTGTGTTTTAGTTTAATTAAAAAATGCTTATGTTACATTGGACAGATTTGTTGATTGTTCTATCAGTCAGATAGGAAAAAAAAGTTTTATCACTAACACAAATTTCGATTAGTGATAATATTGTACATACAAGTGCTGAAATGATATAGTTTACACAATGTGTTACATTCACTTTTAAGCAGTTATGTAACCAATTGTTGTATCAGTGTTAACACTATTTACAAAACAAGAAACATATTCAAGACCAACAGTAGGTTCTTCTGTAATTCCATACATTCATAGAAGCAATAAGCTAGAGTTCCTGCACTTTACAAATTGAGACAAAGTAGAACCGTAAGCATTGCGCCCGCAATTAACAGATTAGGGCAGGGTAGATCAGTAAACTTTTACGAAGACTCCAGAATGTTACTTCGTTTTGAAAAAACGTATCTTGCTTTCTAGATAACCTTTGTATAGGATCTTATAGGGAGAACCGTGTAAAAAGACAAGAAATAAGACAACCATTTGTCGTATTCAACCCCCCCCTTTTTATTATATAAATACTTTATCGTGTTGCTGTCCAGTCTATCACGATATTTAAATTATACATGCTTACATCTTTCTTTCAGCATTGTGCTTCTGAAGAAGTGTTTTTCCGAAACGAAGTAACATTCCGGAGTCTTCGTCAACGTTTACTGATCTACCCTGCCCTAATCTATTCCTTGCAGGAGCTATGTCTACTGTTCCAGAGCCAGTTTGGTGTAGTGGTTAAGTGCTCGGACTCTAATCTGGGAGAACCGGGTTTGATTCCCCACTCCTCCACTTGCACCTGCTGGATGACCTTGGGCAAGCCATAGTTCTGTCAGAGCTGTTCTTGAAAAAGAGCAGTTCCTGTCAGAGCTCTCTCAGCCCCACCGACCTCGCAGGGTGTCTGTTGTGGGGAAGGGAAGGGAAAGGAGTTTGTCAGCTGCTCTGAGACTCCTTTGGGTAGTGAAGGGCAGGGTGTAAATCTAATCTCCTCCTCCCTCCTCCTCCTCTTCTTCTACTTTGTCTCTATTTGAAAACGGCAGGAACTCTAGCTCATTGCTTCTATGAATGCTACAGCTTATGCTTTTTGCCTCATGTATGTTGTTATGCACAGCATGTATTTGGTTTAATTATATATTGTTTGCACACACCCCCTCGGGCTTTTTTATTTCTTCACTGGTTTCAGCTGGGCAGTCTCCTTGCTTTTTTGTTCAAAAGGCAGCTGACGGCAGCAAGGGAAAGCTGCCACCCAGAGTCCTGCAGATTGACTTTCTGAGGATGTTTGTTGGCTCCCTGCTGCTTCTGGGCAGCGCGGCTCACTTTCTCGTTGCTTTGCATGCAGTCCCAGCAGGAGAAGATCGACAGGATCGAAGACCACGTCCACACTGCCTCTGTGAATGTTGAGGAAGGGACCAGAAGCCTGGGGAAGGTAGGGCTCCGGATCCGCTGGCCCTCGGTCGTATATCTACTGTGCTCGCCTGTAAGGTGACTCGGATGTCGCTTCTTGGGAAGTACATGCAGAAACCAGCAAAGGGTGAAATGCAGGGGGGGCGGGGGCTGCTCCCCAAAATGGGAGGCTGGCGGTGGAGAAGAACGCGCAAAACCACGCGATGAGACTCCCAATTTTCTCAGATGTGCAGGTGAGAATGTCTAACTGAAAGCCGTTTCAGAGGGTAGCCATAGAACAGTGCACCTTAGAAGCCTACCAGGTTTTCGAGGTATGAGATTGTTCAAGAGTCAGAGTTCTCTGATAAAGTGACCAAGGGAGTTTTGACTCTGGAAATCTCATGCCTCGAAAATCTTGCTGGTCTCTGAGGTGCTCCTGGACGTGAATCTAATTGAAAACAGTCAAGCTTACTTTCAAAGTATATAAGAAGAACCCTGCTGGGTCAAACCGATAGTCCAGCGGCCTGCCTCACACAGTGGCCAGCCAGCTCCTCTAGAGGGCCAAGATACAGGGCACAGAGGCCAAGGCCTTCCCCTGAGAAGAGCCCTGCTGGATCAGACCAGTGAGGGTCCATCCAGTCAGGCATCCCGTCTCACACAGGGGCCAGCCAGTTCCGCTGGAGGGCCAACAACAGGGCACACAGGCCAAGGCCTTCCCCTGATAAGAACCTAAGAAGAGCCCTGCCAGATCGGACCAATGAGGGTCCCTCTAATCCAGCATCCTGTCTCACACAGGGGCCAGCCAGTTCCTCTGGAGGGGCAACAACAGGGCACAGAGGCCGAGGCCTTCCTCCTGGCTCTGGGATTCAGAGGATCAGTGCCTCTGAATGTGGAGCTTCCCCTCAGTCATCATGGCTAGTAGCCACTGATAGATTTTATCCTCCATGAATCTACCTAATCCTCCTTTAAAGCTTTTGATTCCCGTGGCCATCACTACATTCTCTGGCAGCGAATTCCACATTTCAATCACTCTCTGTGTAAAGTAGCATTTCCTTTTGTCCATCCGGAACCTACTGCCCGTCAGCTTTATTGGATGTTCTCCAGTTCTAGTATTTTGGGACAGTGAAATTTTTTTTTCTCTTTGCCAGCTCTCTCCACCCCATGCATAATTTTATAAACCTCTCTCATGTCCTCCGTTAGACATCTCTTTTCTATACTGAAAAGTCCCCGACTCTTCAGCCGTTCCTCATAGGGAAGGTGCTCCAACCCGCTCACCGTCTTCGTTGCTCTCCTCTCCACTTCTTCCAGCTCTGCAATGTCCTTTTGGAGATACGGTGACCAAAACTGTACACAGGCTGCGGTCACATGAAACAGTAGCCACGGTAGAGAGACGGAAGATAGGCGGATTTTCCGGACGCGATCTCACCGCCACATCTGGGAAGCATAGAGCTCCCGTGGCTCAACCGAGGCTTCCCTCCGAAGATGCGCGGCAAAAAACTGGTACCTCAGAGGTACTAGTTTCCGGAAACCGCGGGGCAAGGGCGGGCGTCTGCGTTTCTGGAGGCATCCGGCGCCCGCCCATGTCCCCTCGCAAACAGGTCATTTTCCCCCCCAAGGCTCCACGGATGTGCACAAGCACTCAACGGAGCATGCGCACACTTCAGTTTTAAAAAGTAAAAAAACAAAACAACACCCCCATTTGCCGCCCCGCCCCGCTTCTATGCCTGTGGTGTGATCGGCACCTTCCCCCTAGCCACGGGACCTTGACAGGACCTCAACCGGACGTCTGATCTTGCAGTCGCGCGTTAGTTTGCCCCGGGGCAAACAGCCACGCT